GTTGGGGCTGCATGCGGAAGGTTTTTACCTTTAATGCATAGAATGCATTAGGTTAAAAAAAACTTGTACCTTTAGAACTATTTTAATGTTAAGAGATAACAGGTGAGTCTTATTCCATTAAAATTTTGGTAAATGAGGCCAAGAAGATTCTAACAGAAAACAGCAGTGCAAACCTAGCTATAAATAGTGAAGATGATGAGCCGACAATGCTACATTACCATACAATATATAGAAAATACAGAAAATATTATGAATTCTTGTTATACATTTTATAAATGTGAAATGTATTAGATAAGAGACTACAGTGAATAATATATGTCTTACATTGTTATACAATTGTTTCAGTGTAATGAAAATATGTGTATTGTTTTCCCATGTACAGGTGTGATTTCCAACCGGAAAATGCTGTCCCTGTAATTGTAGGGAAATATAACAGTAGTACGGACAATAAGGTTTACAGTATCACAGAACGGACCCATACAATTCAAAGAATAAACAAGGTAACATTTTAAATTTCATTGCTTTGTCAGTCAACATGCAAAGAGTGGTTTCCACTGAGAGTGGGGCCTAATTCCATGTCTGTAAGATATATGTTGTTAGGCCAATCAATAGTAAAGAAGTAAAACATGCTCACCAACAAAAATTAAACACGTATGTTGCTGGACACAAAATTCCATGAGAACCAAGGAGGTTGTAGTGATGACAACCCTTGGTGTAGGAGAATAACTGAATTTCTTCTGCTTTATCTGCTAACAAACTTACATACAGTAAACTCCTAACAAGCAGGGCCCTCTGTTTTCTCTTGTACTAAATTGTATTGTAACTGTAATGTCTACCTTCATTTTGTAAAGCACTGCGCAAACTGTTGGCGCTATATAAATCCTGTATAATAATGATAATAATAATAATATAGTCAATAGATAAGCACAGAAGTAGTCCTGCTGCACTGAAATTGTAGTATGATATGCTTCAAGCTTATTTCCACTTCTGCAGTTAAATTTGAGAAAACCCCACTATATGTTTGGTATGTGTTCCCATTCACATAGCATAACTAAATAATTAAAAAATATATATTTATTACCATTTAACTTTTTCTAAGGAGTAGGTGTCATGGCTGATTCAAAGAATTTCAGGACAGTTGCACGGTGTCATTGTCCCCACACAGACTAAGGCCGGCCAGCAGGAACCGACCAAGATTCGACCCATGTGTGGGAAGGCTGAATGTACCAAGTTGATCAATTGATCAACTTGGGTACAACCAGCCTGCCAGATTAACTTGTGATTATCGCTAGCGGCTACTATAGCTGCTAGCAATAATCACTGTCTTCTCCCGGCAGGGACGGCTTTACCCACCAGGAGAAGACATTTGCTCGACAGGAGGAATTCCTCTGTCAGCATTGTCTGTGTTGAAGGGGGAATTGTGTGAATTTCTTTCCTGCAACCTGTGAGAAAAATTTTGTAAGTTATGCTGTGTTATGGGGGAACATGTAAAAAACAAAGTGACAAGTCCACTTTAATTGGCCTTTAGTCTAAACTGAAGAAGGTTCTTATGTCCACATCAATTATCATTCAACTGTAATATCCTCTGGTGTAAAGTGTTATTGATGTGGATATTGGACGTAACTACTTTAGATATGGTTATGCTCTTTGAATACATGACCTTTTTAGTGTTTACCATGTAAGTATCAAAAAAAGCCTTGTATTGGTGTAAGCCGGAGTGCAGGAAGCTTGCCCTATTATGACTAAGTCAATCAGTTTATGACAGCTGTAATGTTCTAGCAATATTTCCTCCAAGCACTTTGCAAAAGGACATTGAGAAAAGTGCTATCATTGAGTCAAGTGTTGATACACACTAATAAAATATCAACTTCCACTTTTCTTTAATGACTCATTTCCCATACCTAAAACATTTTTATTCTCACGTCGCAGATCAGGATTAATCTTCTCACTCTTCTAAACCCCGCTAATTATAGCATACGGTGAATACGTGACGAGAAGTGCATTGTCTGTAATGAATGGACATATGTATTTCCCTTTTTCTTTTCCGCATCTGTGGAAACTATAGGGTCCTGTGGGTTACAGTGTAATCATAGCCCATCAATGGATGTACACTGTACATAGATCTACTGTACTTTGTAGCTATGTGGATGACTTACTAATTACCTGCCTCTGCTCTTCCTTTTCCTTTTGCACACATAAGGACAGTCAGATAATGTTAAATGTTTGGAATCCCCATTCTGTACAATCGTTTATGAATGTGGGTACTATAATGCCATACATGGATCAAAATGTGGCTTCAGCACAACAAATTTATTTATTTATTATTATTGTATTTATTTATTACAGTACTTTTACAGTGCCGTCAGTTTACGCAGGGCTTTACATATACAGGGTGCAGCAACATAACTTCCTTTTTTCAAAATGCAATAAAACCCATTTTATGAATCAGAATTGTTTTTATTGTCTTTAATAATGTAGGTAGATATCTAAAGTTCTGTTTTAAACAGTTTTGAAAATCATATCAGGTAGGTGACGCCCCCCATTGTCCATACACTGAATAAGTGAATTCAGACCAGTATGTGAACATGTTGGAGGAATTTGTTTTTCCACGACTTGATGAATTGGACTTAGGGGACATTTGGTTCCAACAGGACGGAGCAACAGCTCACACTTCAAGAGCATCAATGGCTGTTTTAAGGGAACACTTCCTGGAGCGCCTCATCTCAATAAGGGGCGATTTGGAGTGGCCAGCCCGCTCCCCCGATTTGGCCCCTTGCGACTTTTTTTTTTGGGGGGGTGTTTTTAAATCCCGCGTTTATGTAAACCGTCCAAGGACCCTACAAGACCTGAAGGCCAACATCCGCGCAGAAATTGCCAACATACCCGCTGCTATGCTGGTAAAGGGTCATGAAAAACGCCAGAAATCGCTTATTCAGAAAATGGGGGGCGTCACCTACCTGATATGATTTTCAAAACTGTGTAAAACAGAACTTTAGATATGTACCTACATTATTAAAGACAATAAAAACAATTCTGATCCATAAAATGGGTTTTATTGCGTTTTGAAAAAAAGAAGTTATGTTGCTGCACCCTGTATATAGCACATTCACATCAGTCCCTAACCCTCAAGTGGTGTACAATCTAAGGTCCCTAACTTACATTCATACATACACATACTAGGGCCAATTTAGACAGGATCCAATTAACCTACCAGCATGTCTTTGGAGTGTGGGAGGAAACCAGAGTACCCGGAGGAAACCCACGCAGGCACAGGGAGAACATGCAAACTCCAGGCAGGTGGTGTCATGGTTGGGATACGGACCAACGACCCTAGTACTGCCAGATGGAAGTGCTAACCATTTAGCCACTGTGCTGCCCCAATCCATGTATGGGCAGGCTCGTTGTACACAAGGCTATCTATTGATCACCTTGTGTACAGCCAGCCTTTTGTTTTTTTTTTCCGAATAATCAGTGCCGCCGGCTATAGTATGCAACACTGATCAGTGTATTGTGATAGAGGGGAAGTCTCGCCGCCGTCATAATACAATACAACAGCCAGAAGTATTCCCTAATCCACATCGATTGTGTGGATGGGTGAATCTCATCATTGTTTTTTCATTCAACCTGCTGATTAAATGAAAAAAAAATGATCTATGTATGGACTGCCTAAGTATATTTATTTATTTAATTTAATATTTTGTAAAAAAAAAAAACCTAATAAATTATCAAATAAAAGAAAATATATTTATTTAATTATTACAGGTACTTATATAGCACTGTCAATTTACACAGCACTTTACAAAGTACAGTTCTGAATACACTGCACAATTTTTCTGAAGCCATGGGCATCATCAGCATACTCCATGTGTACAATGCTGAAGGTGGTAGCTTCCAGATATCCATCAATTTTTTTACTTAATTAAAACAACCTGTGCTGTCTTTAACAATTATACCAGTGCTTTCAAATAGCTGACAGTATACACTGTTGTACATATCTTCATTCCATTTCATTCTCAACCCCCCTACCCAATCCTTTCAGATTTCAGGGCACTGTCAGTAATTATTCAGTAATCAGAATGGTGCTGATGAAGCAGCATCACAAAAATATAGGTAATTCAACTGCTTGTGGATACTCAAAATCCTTCAGGAAATTTTTATGTGCAAGCACGTGCTTCTGCGAAAGGATTCTGCTTCAGTGGTTGCTGTAATATCTTGTGTCACTGACTGTAGCATCATTTTAAAGGTCATAAAAAATTGAGCACATATCCGAAAAAATATGTACATTTTATATATATAATACTATCTGATATAAAAATGTGGTGACTTTTCATAAAAGCATAAAATGTGTTACTTCTTTTTGCCTTTAAAACACATAGAAAAAATATATTTTTGAGGGACTTGATATAAAAAAAATAGCATAACTAAAAAGTCAGCATTCATGCATGTGTTTTGTGTATATAAAGCTGTTGCTTTTGGGGCAAATTTTCCTAAGGTACTTTTTTCTGATTGAGTGTTCTTGAGACATTTCTCTTAGAACTGAATGTTGTTCATATACTATATGTTGCCTTCAGTACTGGTAACATTCAACAAAGAAATCATTATGACAACATATATAGTTAAATAGTTAATCATGCTGACAAAAAAGTAAAAGCCCATCTAGCTCAGCCAATAGAATAATACAAGCCAATAGAAAACCTCCACATACACAATCCTATACTTACAGGTAATCCAGAGGAAGGGTCTCGTTTATACTTACATTCTTACAAAGCTGCTGTGAAAGTGACTTTCACTAAACATTCACTGCAAATGAATCAATCACTGCAATTGAAAACACATGCAACAGAAAGATACACAAACAGTGAATAATTTGTTAATGTCGAATTAACTGCTTTATAAATATGGCCTTTATGTCTTTAAAAAAAGTCAAAATTGAACAGTTAAGTTCATTAGCCTATTATTTATAGCTAAAATACTTTATTGTATCTTTTTCTTTTTTTTTCCAGACTGCAGGCACTCTTATTATAGAAGATGCTACAACATCTGGTGTTTACAGCTGCATTGCATCCAATAAAATAGGAACAGAGAGAAGAGATATAAGTTTTTTGGTTTCAGGTATGTGCTGATCTTGAAAATGATCTGATAAAAACAAAATCAGGCAACTCTCATTCATGATTTCATACCATACTAAATATATTTAACAAAACTATTCTTTTACCTTCCCTGTTTATTAAAATGTTAATTCCATTGCCCTTCTTCTTCCTATAGCTGTACATAGATGACATTATATATGCAAAATAAAGCAGAAACGTATCAGTGGGTTAAAACAGAAGTCTATAAAACAGCTAACTACACAGTTAAAGAGAAACAAAGTAATCTCTGCAAATAAGCCTTTTAATACCTACCTGTCCTACTTCCAGTGCCCCCCCCCCCTCTGTGTTGTGAAGGAAAGTTTGCTAAAAGTTCCATAACTTCCAGGTGTGTCAAATGCCTGCCCACTCCCCCGCCCTACTTCCCCACTGCCCTCTGTGGTTCCTTCCACTGGCCCCTACATATTTATTCCTAAAACTCCAGAGCATAGTAGGAGATGTCTGCGTCCAACACTTACAGTGTTTTAAAAGCCTCAACATTCTTCAGCAAACTTTCCTTTTCAGCGATTCGCAGTTCAGAGAGAGCAGAAAGGAAAGGTAATTATGAAATGTTTTCTTTGTAGGGACGCCTTTGTATCCTTTTTTAAAAATACCAGTTTTACCTTTCAAAAAATGTACAAGTTGGCCAGGGTGTTTAACCACTTCAATACCGGGCACTTATACCCCCTTCCTGCCCAGGCCAATTGCAGCTTTCAGCGCTGTTGCATTTTGAATGACAATTGCGCGATCATGCAACACTGTACCCATATGACATTTTTATAATTTTTTTTTTTCGCACAAATAGAGCTTTCTTTTGGTAAGGTTGAGGTTTTTTTTTTTTTGCTAAATAAAACAAAAACACCCTGAAACTTGTGAAAAAAAATCCGCACTTTTCTTCATTTCTGTTCTACAATTTTGCAAATAAATAACATTTCATCATAAATTTAGGTCAAAATATATTCTGCTACATTTTTTTGGTGAAAATAATAATAATAATTTAATTTGTATTTTTTTTTTTCAAATGATTCTATTTTTTTTATTTTTTATTAAATTTTGTTTTTTCAGCACACTGTGACCAAAGCAATACAATGTTACCATAGTAACATTGAACTACTCTGGGCAAGTTTTTTGGTGAAAATAATAATAATAATTGAATTTGTATTTTTTTTTTCAAATGATTCTATTTTTTTTATTTTTTATTACATTTTTTATTTTGTTTTTATTTTTCAGCACACTGTGACCAAAGCAATACAATGTTACCATAGTAACATTGAACTAATCTGGGCAAGTTATCAGGATTTTTTTTTTTAACACATTATGATTGCTAATACCAATGTATTTCATTGATATTTGCAATCATTGTTACTGAATGAAACAGATTCATTCAGTCTTTTGTTGTGATTAGCTGTGATTGGGCAAAGCTGATCACATGATACAGATGGGCTTTGATTGGCCCTGTCTGTATCATGTGACTACCTTGACCAGTCACAGCTAACAACATAATTGTATACAATGGATGGCATGACAGGAAGCCATCCATTGTATACAATTGACATGTGATCTGCTGTGGTTGGTCACAGCGGTCACCTGACACTTGCAACGGGCCGGTGTAGTGATATGTGATCGGCTGTGTCCCGTTGACACAGCCGGTGATAGATCGCGCTGCTGCACGGCCCTGAGCGGCTCATTTTGACAGAACATCATATGACGCCCAGTCACAATAGCGAGTGTTCTGCCCAGCCGTCAATCTGCTATAGGCCAGGCGGGAAGTTGTTAAAAGTGTTGGTAAACTCCAAATCTATGTAAATACTTTTTTGTGAATCTGCTGCAAAGTTTCTTACTTTGAGATTCTGCCAGTAACAGCACTTCCTCTTGCAAGCTGGCAACGTTAACCACTTCCAGACCGGACACTTTTACCCCCTTCCTGACCAGGGCAATTTTCAGCTTTCAGCGCTATCACACTTTGAATGACAATTGCGCGGTCATGCAACACTGTACCCAAATGAATTTTTTACCATTTTTTGAGACAGATAAAGCTTTATTTTGGTGGTATTATTTGCTGTGTAAATTAAAAAGTCCAAAAATTTTGAAAAGTGTTTTTTTTATAAAATTTTGCAAATAAATAATATTTCATCATAAATCTTTGCCAAGATTTATTCCGTTATCTTTTTAGTAAAAAAAAAAAATCCAAATTAGTTTATAACTAGAGATGAGCGAATCGAACCAGGCGAAGTGGAATTCGATTCGAATTTCAGGAAAAATTCGATTCGCGTCGAATCCGAATATTAGCCTACTTTGGGTGCGCGAATCGGATTTTTCCCGATCAGCCGGCAAAAGTGTCCCTGCAGAGAGCTCCGCTATTTCTGACAGTTCTCTGACAGTTCCTTCACATGTACAGCGGTTGAAACATTGTATCTATTTGTTTCCATTTAGGATACAGATGTTTTTATTTGGAAACAGATACAATGTTTCAACCGCTGTAAATGTGAAAGTCAGAGAACTGTCAGAAATAGAGGAACTCTGCAGATACACTTTTTGCCGGTTTGGAATTATTCTTATTTTCATCCTACTTCTTCTTCTTCTTCTTCTTCTTCATCCTCATACTCAGAAGAAGAAGAAGAGGATGAGGATGAAGAAGAAGAAGAAGAAGTAGGATGAAAATAAGAAGAATTCCAAGCCGGCAAAAAGTGTATCTGCAGAGCTCCTCTAAGTGTATCTGCAGATAAGAAGAATTCCAAGCCGGCAAAAAGTGTATCTGCAGAGCTCCTCTATTCTGCAGATACACTTAGAGGAGCTCTGCAGATACACTTTTTGCCGGCTTGGAAATTCTTCTTATTTCATCCTACTTCTTTCTTCTTCTTCTCTTCATCCTCATCCTCTTCTTTCTTCTTCTGAGGATGAGGATGAAGAAGAAGAAGAGAAGTAGGATGAAAATAAGAAGAATTCCAAGCCGGCAAAAAGTGTATCTGCAGAGCTCCTCTAAGTTGTATCTGCAGAATAGAGGAGCTCTGCAGATACACTTTTTGCCGGCTTGGAATTCTTCTTATTTTCATCCTACTTCTCTTCTTCTTCTTCTTCTTCTTCATCCTCCATCCTCATCCTCTTCTTCTTCTTCTGAGGATGAGGATGAAGAAGAAGAAGAAGTAGGATGAAAATAAGAAGAATTCCAAGCCGGCAAAAAAGTGTATCTGCAGAGCTCCTCTATTCTGCAGATACACTTAGAGGAGCTCTGCAGATACACTTTTTGCCGGCTTGGAATTCTTCTTATTTTCATCCTACTTCTTCTTCTTCTTCTTCATTCCCTCATCCTCAGAAGAAGAAGAAGAGGATAAGGATGAGGATGAAGAAGAAGAAAGTATGTAGGATGAAATAAGTAGAATTCCAAGCCGGCAAAAAGTTGTATCTGCAGAGCTCCCGCTAAGTGTATCTGCAGAGCTCCGCTATTTCTGACAGTTCTGTGACATTCCCATCCATACAGCGGTTGAAACATTGTATCTATTTGTTTCCATTTATGGAAACAAATATAGATACAATGTTTCAACCGCTGTATGGAGGGAATGTCACAGAACTGTCAGAAATAGCCTATTTCTGACAGTTCTGTGACATTCACTCCCATACAGCGGTTTCAACCGCTGTATGGAGGGAATGTCACAGAACTGTCAGAAATAGCCTATCTTCTCCTTCTCCTTCTTCTCTCCATCTCTTCTTCTCATCCTTCTTCTCATCCTTCTCCTTCTCATCCTTCTCCTTCTCTCATCCTTCTTCTCATTCTTCATCCTTCTCCTTCTTCTTATTCTTCTCTCTTCTTCTCATCCTTCTTCTTCTTCTCATCCTTCTTCTTCTCATCCTTCTCCTTCTTCTCATCCTTCTTCTCATCCTTCTCCTTCTTCTCATCCTTCTTCTCATCCTTCTTCTCATCCTTCTCCTTCTTCTCATCCTTCTCCTTATTCTCATCCTTCTCCTTCTCCTTCTTCTCATCCTTCTCCTTCTTCTCATCCTTCTCCTTCTCCATCTTCTCATCCTTCTCCTTCTCCTTCTTCTCATCCTTCTCCTTCTCTCCTTCTCCTTCTTCTTCTCATCCTTCTCCTTCTTCTCATCCTTCTCCTTCTCCTTCTTCTCATCCTTCTCCTTCTTCTCATCCTTCTCATTCTCCTTCTTCTCATCCTTCTCCTTCTTCTCATCCTTCTCCTTCTCCATCTTCTCAATCCTTCTCCTTCTTCTCATCCTTCTCCTTCTCCTTCTCCTTCTCATCCTTCTCCTCTTCTCATCCTTCTCCTTCTCCTTCTTCTCATCCTTCTCCTTCTTCTCATCCTTCTCCTTCTCCTTCTTCTCATCCTTCTCCTTCTTCTCATCCTTCTCCTTCTCCTTGTCCTTCCTCATCTCCAAGGGCATTTAAATTAAAGGTACAGTGTTCTGCACTAATTTAAAGGCTCTCTGAAGCCTAGAAACCCTTTTAATAAGTTAAATTCGTAGCGAATTAATTCGCATCGAATCAAATTTCTTCCTCAAATTCGGCGAATCAGCCGAATCGAATTTTTGAATAATTCGCTCATCTCTATTTATAACCAAAAATTATAATTTTTAAACTTTTTTTTTTTACATTTGTATTTTATTTTTTTATATTATTATTTTTTATTTATTTATTTTTTTTACATACTGTCACCCTAGCAGTACAGTGTCACCATGGTGACACTGTACTACTTGGGGGGGGTGATGAAGATTTTTTTTTTTTTTTTTTACACATTGCTTTTACACCCATATAGGATGTAAAAGCAATCATTTCTCTTTCTCTCTGTGTGCATTCTTGTACTCATTGAGAAGTACTGAGTGAGCTGTGATTGGTCACAGCTTGTCACATGGTACAAGCCTGTTGTGAATAGGCTTGTACCATGTGACCTCTGTGATCATTCACAGATTTCACACGCAGTAAGCAATGATGTCACAAGTGACATCTTGCTTACTACTTTGCATGTGATCACTGATTGG